TTAGGGGACAGGGAGCAGGGAGGCTTAGGTAGGGGGTGGGGTCCTGGAGGGCAGTTAGGAGTAGGGGTCCCAGGAGGGGGCAGTCAGGGGACAAGGAGCAGGGAGGCTTAGGTAGGGGGTGGGGTCCTGGGGGCAGTTAGGAGCAGGGGTCCTAGGAGGGGGCAGTCAGGGGACAAGGAGCAGGGAGGCTTAGGTAGGGGGTGGGGTCCTGGGGGCAGTTAGGAGCAGGGGTCCCAGGAGGGGGCAGTCAGGGGACAAGGAGCGGGGGGGGGGGTTGGAGGTTCTGAGGGGGGCAGTCAGGGGGCAGGAAGTGGGAGGGGCGGGGCTCCCACCATCCTCTTTTTTGATTGTTGAAATATGGTAACCCTACAGGAGAGATTACCAAGCTATAGATAGGCTTGTGCCCAATGGCCTATAGATTACACTCTTATTACCTTAGACATTCCCAGGAGGCCAGATTCCTTCAGCCTGAGTTGAGGGAAGTGGAAAGCAGAGTACAAAAAAGGTAAGGCCTAAATGAAACCTTTAATTTGTGGAGGGAGGGGGGAAGAGAAAGGGAGCAAGCCAGTCAGGGAAAGAGGCTCCTGTAACCAAAAGGAACCATTCCTTCCCTTCCTCTCCTACTCTCCGAGGTCAGGAGACAAAATTTGATCAGTCACCAGAAGACAGGAGATAGGGAGAGAGATTAGAATTTTTCCGTTCAATTTAGGGCATTTTAAAACCATTTCAAGAATGTTTTTAGTTCTCAGACAATATATCTGCTCATCCAGTCCAGCTTTGAACAGAAATAGACACATGCTCTCCTACCATGCTTGAGGATTAGAGTAGTGCAACGAGAAGGTGTTAAGACTCTGCCATAATGTTTGACTTGGTGACACTACCACAAATGATACCAAGGTTTGGGAATCATGTCAGGATTCATCATGGAGGCAACATGCTTGGGCCAGCCCACATGTTGCTTGGAAAAAGTGAATACCCCCCATATATATAAACTTACAATAAATTTTGCTCTGCTACTTCCCAGCCAATCATCATCATGATCATAATAGTGACCTTTGTTCTGAAAGACATGCTCATTCAGAGATACTAGTACGGAAACACGAACCAACCAAAGTGGAGCCACGTTCACTTAAATTCCACGGGAGAAACAGAAAAATATATTTGCCAGACTTAAATCAGGAAAACCATCAGGCAGAGAAATTATTTTCAAGCTCCTAATAACACATCCGAGTATATCTGGCAGCCCATCTTGAACAGCCATAAGTTAGAACAAAATTCAGTAGATATAAAGTACTAATCAAAGCCTGTTCTTCTCTCCCAGTTCAGTAGCCTATTGACATCAACAAATCATTGCCTTGGTCAGACTTCCACCACACTGTCCTCACACAAGTCACAGTCTTAGAAATGATGTATTTCCAAGCTGCTCCCAGAGACTAACTCATATCATGACAGCGTGATCATTACCACACCACATCACAAAACTGTATGCCCACATCACAACATTGCTATGCTGAGTTAAAAAAGGCCCATACTATGACAGAACATTGCAACGTCTGATATTTTGGGACCCGCTCCACGTTTCAGGCTCACCACCAAAATGGTAGGATGATCCTGGAAATCTTGTGACAAGTAGCAACACTACAAAAACCACACACACTGTTACAAACTGTAGGTGGGGATTGTTAAACCTGAATATATACTTAGCAAGATGCTCATTTCCAGCTCTCACTAGCTATCTCTTCAATTGGAGTTGTATACTGGGATAAGATGGAAGTGTGTCAGGAATCAAGTGGGAGACAGAGAACTCTGAATGTCAGATGCCCAGGCTAGCAATTATGCAGCTGTAAATGACCCAGCACTGCTCATAAGTCTATCTAGATGTCTCTAGAGTCTGCAACCTTTGTACCCGTTGTTCTCACGGTCATCACAAACTCAACTGTGTATATTTCTAATAATCAAATCCGCCATTGCTATTAACTGTCTCTTCCTAACAACAGTGGTCCCCTCCCACAGAGAGATATCCTCAGTGCAAGAGGATACCATGATATCATCTGGAAGGAGGGTCCCAACTATGGGATTATTTTCCTTTGCTCCGGCTCAGTGTTCTCCTTCCTCAATACTTTCATCCTCTTCAAAAGCACAGAGGCTGTCGGACTGCAGGATGGGACTGTGTCCCGGAAAGTCTCATTTATGTATTTCTCTGTCTCCCTTAGTTCCTCCCGTTCAGCCACTCTGGTCTCAAGAGCTGGTACTCTGTCTCTGAGGGCCATGAGTTGCTTGCACCGAATGCATACATGCCACCTGCTCACAAGCATGTTCACGATTATGTACATGCTGCGTTCAGTGCAAAAAACTGGGTAGCCCCCACTTTGCTGCTGGACTTCTGCCCACATTATATTTATTATTGCAGGGTTTTGTTTGTTCTTTGTTTGTATGTCGGTTATTTTTCTTTGGGAGGCGTTATTGGCCTAAGTTTAGAGAATGTTTATTAGGTGTATCTGGCTCTCTCACTCCCTCTCAAAACTCCCCTGTTCGCTAGCTCCTGTCCTGTTCGCTAACTGCTGTGGTTGCTTAGGAGCAGGCTTTTTAAACCCCTGTTTTCACTGAGTTAGCCCCATCCTCTCATCAAGGGATTCTAAAGGGACTAGATGAAGTCTAAGGTCTAGATCCTCAGCTGGTGGAAACTAGTGTAGCTTCCCCGAAGTCACTGCAGCCAGGATCATTTACACCAGCCAGGATCTGGTCCAATGCTTCACTCAGTCAAATACCCTTGCCGCCCTTACCCTCCACCCCATCAAATTTTGTTTTTAAACTTGTTTGTGGCTAGAAAAAGGATTTTGACATTTTTAATAAATATCACCAACTCGTAAACTTTTAAAATGTGGTTTTAAAAGGTTTTATCTGTCGAGATGTTTTAATATTGTATACTGAATCTGCAGCAGAAATATAAACCTTTATTCTGGATGGCAAAATGTAGTAGTATTAACAAGTGACACATAATTTGATGCCCATTTAGAAAAGACAAATCTTACACTTCTGTAAAATATTCCCCTAAAATTATGGCTAGCAAATTTATCATCATGCTAGCAGCTATATGCATTGTAGCTTACAGGTTCTTTTGTGCAGAGTATTTTTGTTAAGATCTGAATTTCTGCTGGGAAAGCGACTAAAGGGAACCCCATAATGAGACAGAAGTACAATATTCCATTTGTATAAACCTACACCTTACTATCTTGCTGGGATGCTCTATAAGGACCATTGAAAAAGCAAACATGAATTCAGCTCATACAAAAACAGTTACGTTCGGGAGGACGGGGGGGAGGAGAGAGAGAGAGAAAATCCACAAGCCTAAAAACCAATTTTAAGATTTCTCCTGAGCCTCACACTCTGTTCTTTACTACAATCACTGCTGTATACGACCAGGTAGGGCAAGAGTTCTATAATAGAATTCTTTCTATAAAACTCTTACATATTCCACAGGCTTGAAGGATTTGAGTATAGCTGTTGGACAGCCACAGGAAGTGAGGTCAGTGTAGAGGCCTTCTTCCAGCACACAATGATTCTCAGCAATTTCCCCTTGGTAAAACAGGAGCCAACTGAAAGAATAAACATAAAGAAATGTAACTGATGCAGTCAGTTATTAACAAGTTCTCTCAAGATCAAATATTTTCTAGGGGAATGAGAAACAAAACAAGGTTTGTTTGTTTTTTAAAGTGGTACTATAAAAAAAGTGAAACCAAAGATTGATTCGATTTTCTGCTTCTGCTGCTCTTCCACATGGTATACAAATCTCAACCTGGACTTTAACAGGGGTTAATGGAATGCAGCTAGATTTACTCTATTGAGTCCCTGAAATTTTGAACAAGTCGTAAAGGCAGATTCAAATCACAGCAATTGTGTGATTTTCCCATAGGAAAGCAAAAAGCATTAAGTTCCCTTCCATCAGAAAGAAGAGAGTTATCAAAATAGGTTGCAAGAGAGTAGGTATAGGACGATATGGAGCGTGATGATAATGCACTGGATACATTTGATTATTTGAAATTTAATGACGGTTAAAAAGTGCTCTCTAACTACTTTAAATGGTGATGGGTAAAACAACACACTTACCATCCCCGAAGAACCTTAAAAGAACATGGTATGAATGATGTAAAATCAGAAACTTCTGCTGTGAAATCTACACATGCTCCTTGGAAATGTGTGTTACTGAAAGCTTTGAGCTACAAGAACAACAACAATAAAAATATGATGACTAGAAAGAAAATGTACTCATCATCATCACTATAAGTAGACCAAGCTGCAGGAACAGGGAAATATCAATACAATTTACAGAAGTACTAATGCAAATCTAATGGACTCCCAAGAGAAGAAATGTCTTACATTTCTACAGCGCCTTTCCTCTTGAAAGGTCCCAAAGCGTTTTATGAACTATGGGCAGATTCTGCAGTCCTTAACGGAGGCAGATCTCCTACTGATATCAATGGCAGTGGCAGCAAGTATATATTCATTTTATGGTAACAGAAGTGTTTCCAGAGAAAGCACAATGATAGGACTGAAAAATCTGGCCTTATATATACAGCACCACTCAGATGTAGCCAGATTTTGGGTACAGGTCAGCAACCAATTGGAGCACAACAAGAAGGGGAAAGGAAATACTGGTGAAAAGATACCAAGGCAGAACATTAAAAAAAAGTGCCCCGGAATCTTCTGTGATCACACTGAGCAGAGAGGACATCTTATTTAAAAAGCTTGCACGAGAATTTCTGGTAGGACTCGCTGTGTCAGGAGTGTCTGATTTCCAACCCAACAAGTTTGCACACACAGATATCCTTAGCAAAGAGTTTTGGAGCCATTTAGAACTACATCCTGCCCAGGAAGTGTGTGTCGATCTCTCCATCAACAGGGAGTGCTGCTTTAAAAGAAGTTAAAAACAAAATCTATAGCAGAATACAGCCAATGGTCTACAATGTGGGGAAGAAGCTAAGAATTCTGTGCCCCTCAGGTACTATTTGTTCCTGGATAATGGGTCACTTTAGGTGGCCACTGATGTGCTGAAATCTATTGAGCAAGAGCAATACAACTAAAAATTAAGGAAAAACGATGAAGAAATCTGCTTTGCATTTCTACCATTGTTTTTGACAAAAGGGTTCAGATGTCATTTAGTCATGTACTTTATTCTCTTAACCCACTGCAGGATTGCTCCCCATAATGTATTTTCTAATGCTATGCCTAATCTCCTGGTAAACGCATGACACAATGGTTTCTGCGATTAGAACCTTGACCCCATGATACGCAGAGCGCCACTTGCAAGGTTCTGAGCACTCAAGTACCACTGCAATCAGTGGGAGTTGAAGGCACCTTGTAGGATCAGGCAGTATACTTTTCCAGCTACTACTGTAGGCCTTAGTAATATGAGGCTGAAGAGAGAATTTGTTAGGGACCCAATAATCCATTAGAAAAGTACTACTCTGAGTGTCTTATTGATACTGAATGGCTTGAATACATACAAATAGGCAAATAGTGGATTATTTGTTGTGCAGTGCCATTCAAAATTGGACATTTACCATCTGAATTAGTTGAATTTACCATGGTATTTCCCATTTTAAGATTAGGGAATCCTTGGTAAACACTGACCACTGATTTTTAATGGAACCCGGCATACACGTGTGAAATCTGACCGCTACTCTAAAAACTTTGTTTCCAGAGTGCTAGTGCCATTTTATAATACACTTGAATCACATACTCCAGAAGGACTCTCAGTCTTCAGATATATCCAAGTTGTTTTGTAGATTGCCTCTAGGAATGCCTTAATTAAGACAGGGTGCAATGGATGGTACATACTATCAGGTGATGTGACCAACTTTTATCAGGTGTTATGAAAATTGCCTGGTATTTCAAAGACTGAGGGAAGCTCCTTATTGCTTATTTTATAACTGACTTCTGGTGCCACAAAAACACTTGTTTAATTTCCTCTATAAGGGAGAATTTCACTCCAGTACACAGGCTCTAAGCAGGGGCCTCTATACCACTTCACCCTCCAAGAGATATGTGGAGCAGAGAGCCCTGCATGGCCTCTCTGTACTGCGGCGAATTTCACACTAAAATTTGACACAGCATTCTGTAACACAGAAGAAAAATGTTGTTGCCAGTGCTCCTCCCTCACTCGTGCCCCAAAGTGGCCCCCCTCTCCCTGCCAAAGAAAAAAAATCCAATCTACAGAGACTGAGAAAAAGCCAAAACCACATATTAGAAAATGGTTTTATGGAAAAACAGTCTCTTAAAAACAAAACAAAACACTAATATATTTCCTGTTACAAAGAACAAGAAGGGCTTAATCTTGCCCTTACGTGACACACAACTGTGAATTGAATAAGACAAGCCAGCTACATGGGCTGAATACACTGCTGGATACATTTGAAACTGCATTATTGAGCATAACATTGATATTTAGGCTACACTTACATTGTGCTTTTCATCCATAGATCTCAAAACACTTTACAGAGGAAAGTAACTATCATTTTCTCCATTTTTACCAATGCAGAAAACTGAAGCACAAAGATGAAGTGATTTGCCCATGGTCAAACAGCAGCGCAGTGACAGAGTCAGGAACAGAACTCAGGTCTCCAGGTTCCTAGTTTGGTGCCTGACACTCCCTCCGTACAGCCTGTGCCCCAGGCTATGTGACAGCTTTAGAAAGACTGACAGGGAAGGTTATACCATGTATATTTTAAATAATAAACCGAGAAAAATATTCTTTTCTCAAAATGAATAGAAAGAAAACAGTTGAATGGAGAGATTTGATGGTTCTGACTTCAGAACAATTAAAGAAACTGATCCATTAGTGATACCACTGCATTTGTACAGTCTGACCACAAATGCAGCTAGTTATAACTTAAAATATATTAAATCTGATGTGACAGATTTAAAAGAGCCCTTTTGCTCCATGAAGCTCCATTTCCTAAAAACTCAACAGGCAGTAAGTGGAAAGATACACAGTGCAAAGTTACCATAAATAATTATAGGGGTCTGCTAAAGTATTTGAGCAAGCCAAGTACCATAGGCAGATTAATGAAAGGAGCTTAGTTTTCCTTGGGAGAGTGAAGGAAAAAATATTGTTTTATTTTTAATGAATACAGCTATTGTATTTTAAACCTGGAGACTTTAGTCTTACTTGGAATATGCATGTAGTTTATGAAGGAGCCTGGCAAAGATGAAAAGACCAAGACCACTTATTACAAGTTTTCAAAATATAACACTTAAGGTCAGCTGAAAGCAACAGCAAGTGACAAGGTTTCTCTCTTATGGAAAGAGAGTAGGATTTCCTTATTTTAGTATCTATGCCTACAATAGATAGGAAAATATGTGGAGAGCTATATTCCTACACTGAGGATTCAAACTTGTAAGATTCAGCATCCAGCTGTTAAGGATTCTCTGACTCTGGTGAGCCATCCTTAGCCACCGTTGCAAACATGAACATTGTAATATTATCTTTAAACTAGAAGAGGAAAGGACAGATTTATTTTCTCAAACACTGTTTTTTACTTACCCTGATTCAGTAAGTAATCTTAACAAGTTTCCCACAACTCCTTAGTCATAATAAAGTACGTTTGTCCCCTAAGGTAACTATGACAATTTTAACACAGCAGTGACACGCTCTCCTCTTTCCTTAGCTTCATCACAGAGGTCCTGTAACAACTCAAGATTGTGATCACATTAACCCTTCCAGCACTTTTTCCTGTGGCAAAAGTGACATCAGGGCAGCATGACATGGCATGCATATTTGTACACAGCAAGTGTTTGTTTGTTTTTTAAAATAATTTTCTGATGTACTGGTGGATGGGATGGGATGGGAGGTAAGGTGAAAGGAAAGAATTGCAAGGTTGAATCAATTGCAAATAGTCTCATTGCTGCTGATGGGTGAGAATCTTCCAAGATTTGGAGAAACATGCACATGTTTGTATGCTTATATTAACCATCTGAATCGCTTGGGTCTGCAAAACTGCTCTAAGACACTCACAGGAACAGCATTTAACATATTCTGAAGAAGAACAGAGTTGAGGAAGGGGATAAAAAGTTATTAAAACTATCTGGAATCTCTGAAAAAAAGTTTGGTTTGGTACCGGTTTCATTTTTCACTCAATTATTTTATCTGAAATGGTTTACCATGCCTTCTGTGTGAAAGTGTTTCGGCTTCTTTGGATTTGGCTGCAAACAGCCAAATGAATATGTCTGGCACGAAATCAGTGTTTAAGACTAAAGTAATACACCATTTATGTCTTTAGACAGAAAATATTTCCTGCAAGCCTGAGTAAATCAAACATTTTAGAACCTGAACATAGTTGGAGTAAAGAAAGGGTGTGGTCAGGCTGTCCTAAGTAATGTAATGTGTACATTTTCCATGTGTAGGTGTGTATAACAAAACAAGTATAAGCAATAAGGATACTGAAAATCCCGTCTAGATGACAAAATACCTAAGATATCTTAAACTAGATTTTCCAGGTTTTGGGCTGTTTATTAAAACATGTATCTTTATATGTGATTTTCTAAACTTTTCTTTATTAAAAGTGACACAAAGAGAGAGCGAGAGAGAAAGAGAGAACTCTACTGTTCATATCACACTGCACTTCTCTTCCCCAAGATACAGCGTTAACAACGAATATTTCTTTGTGGGCAAAGAATGCCTAATGAAAGAAGGAGAGAAGTCAAACTAAATATAAGGGAATTAAGATGTGCTCTGCTAGAAGAGAAGCCTCAGCAGATAAGGATTCTGGATGAGCATGAGCATGTGGAGAGGTTTCTAAATTTAGTAAGAGGACATAGAAGAATGTTTTTATGGATTTAACATAATCTTATAAAAATTCTGATAAAAATGGAAACCCAAACTAAGCCACTCTGAAAACAAAAACATGCTACAGTGAAATCCTCTTATAATGAAGCAATATTGTTATAGAATTTCACTAAAATTATATTTAACTTTATATTAGGATTTGCTATAAAGCGCTCTCCTTTATATTATTAAATCACTAGTGTGTGCTCAGTCAAACTTAGTGAGCGGGTGGGGGGGGGGAAGGGTAGGGAAGCTGAGTGTGAGCTGGGAATTGCAGCTACAGCAAAGATCATGTACTTTTGAAAGGAGTTAGCGAAACTGCCCTCATCACGCCATCACACAGGAAGTGTAGATACAAACTGCAGAATTGCCAAAATAGAATATATTTTTTAAAACAGCACTGTAGGAAAACAAATGACAGATAGCTAATTGTGTGTGGGTTGTGAATAGTTTTCTGCAGTTCAAGTTTCATAATTCTGCACTTCAGATATTAAGAAGTTACAGTAACAAAGTGGGACATATTAATTACAATGCAAAGACAATATCCCACGTAGAAAAAGGTAAATGAGTGTGACAGTGAATTTCCAGAGAGGCAGAGAGACTGAAAGAAAGAACATGAAAAGAAATGGTGATACAGATCCAAAGTGATCCCAAGCCTATTGAGCGGATGGTACTATGGGGACACAACAAAAAAGGGTGTGAACAGGACCACCACAGTGAATGAGATTCTTGGCTAACTTAGCCTCTATGTGTCTACTGGTTTCCTCAAGTAAAAGGTGGCTTTGTCACTGTACAGTAGATAGTGAAGATCTTATCTGAGACAGCAGGGGGGAAATTCAACGTAAAGCATGTGTGCTTAATAATATGCAATTTACTCCTAGAAATGGCATTATAGGATGTGAACATACCAAATGTGGAGGCTCATTCTTTCCAAGTGGTTCCTGCATATTAAAAAAATAAAAATAATATAAACATTACAATTATTTTTAACAGGCAAGTTGCCTTTTTATTTTTCTGGACTGAAATGGAAAAGAAAAGAAGAAAACAATAAGCTATAGCTCAGTTTTAGCAGACAGTAATAGGAAAGTTAAAGGATTAAAATACATGACAAGTTATTAATAAGGCAAGAGACATGTTTTGTGATAAATTAGGTTTTTATGTTCCATTTGTGGACATAATCTGCTAAATTCTCCTTGTGGAGTTTTCCTAGCATTTTCTTGTTGAGAGCTGGGTTGATACAGAGTTTGCACTGCAGAATAAATGGGAGATTCAGTCCCCATAATTAGCAGTTTCCTTGAATTCTGTGAGGATCTTTTCTTTTCTTCTAACCTTTCATCAATTGAATAGACAAGTTAGCTTTATTACGTAAGCTGCACAATAAAATCATTGTATCCCCAGAGTTTTGAATTCTTGTTGCTTTTTGAATTTTCTTTTTGATGAATTACGGTAACTCACCAGCTTAATGGGACGAATTGACATGATGGTTTCATTGGATCCTCCCCAGTCTAAAAAGCATTTATATTTTCCTTTTTCCAGTATATATTGTTCTCCACAGAAATATTTCTGCTGATATGCAACCCACCTGAGGAGTGACACACAAGAAATGAACTGTGATACACAATCCTATTTTTCAATATGGCACTACAAAAAGTTATCAGTAAGTTAACCTTAAATAGCAAACTTTCCAGAAGGTTCTTAAATGCTTTACCAGTCCACCTGATATGAAATTAAACAGACTATAAAACATGTCTTGTGAGTCACAAACCTGGCACACTCCTGATTTTCTACTTTTTATTTGTCTACAAAATATTCTTGACAAATCCTTGCAGCATTAGATCTCTCTCCCCCTTCTCAGATAATTTCTCAGCATAAAATAAGAGATTGCTTGGAAGCCAAGAGGCTGGATATTCAACTGTCAAATATTTGAGTCCCTCTCTGCTCCCTCAACCTTTACCTTCCCACCTAGCTCCCAGACAGGGCTCCCCTCAAACTCTTCCAGTCAGATTATTCTAAGGAAAGAAGGGAAGCAAGTGAGGAAGCCTTGGCAGGAAGAGATAAAGGGACTCTTGCAATGATTGGTAATTTATTTGTGTTTCTTTCCCTTGCATTTGATTACAAAATCCAAGGCAAACAGAAAATGTTTATAGTGGACACAACAAAGAGTGAGAGCATGCACACATTGCTGACCATGTCCGCTTTTACAGAGTCTGTGTAATTCTTTATACTCTGGTGGGGTTTTTTTTAAGAAACTTACTTCAGTGTTTTATATTTAAACAAGCTGAAAGCTACTGGCACAACCCAGCAAATCAGTAACCTGAAAAGGAACCAGATAAAACACTTCAAACCGAACTAAATAAGCTTCAAGCTGCCATGAGATGGCTGGAACCACACAAATGGCTGATGAACCTCAGAGGAAGCGTCCTGAAGAAAGAGTAATTACAACATAGGACTCAAGGAAGGAGAGGAAATACAGGGGGAAATGGGAGGAGTCTTTGCCTATGACAGGAGGGGAGGCATAGTGAATAAAATATAAAACTTATGAAAAACAGATAAAAAAAATCATTTCCAAAGAATTTGTAAACAAACAGGATACAAACTATGGGCCCAGTCTACTCTGTTCTATTCAGGTCTTTATATAGGCCTCATCACCACAGTATCTAAGTGTCGTCCACAGCAGTGCATTAAGCAGCTCAGTTAACATCTGTGACATCATGGTTTTGTTCCTCTTTCCCTTTGCCCAGGGGGAACTGAGTGGTGGTTTTCGAAATTCAATTTACTATAATATATGTATAATGTCCTATGAATTTCTCTTACCAAAAGCAAAATCAAAGAAATGCACGTTGCATTTGGAGTGGAAGGTGGTGAGGCTTTTGATGCTTCTTAGTAATCTGCCAGACTTACTTGGTAAGATTTGTGGTGGTTCTTGGCAATTCTGCAACCCTTACTAACACAAATTAGTCACAATGCAGTAACACTAGTGAGGGTTGCAGAATCAGGCCCTACATCTGTGAAATGTGGTCATGTGATAGTGTTACTATCACTATCAACTGCAGTGCTGACAAGGACCGAGAGCACTTTAACAATGTTTGGAATCCAACAATAGAGTCTATTTAACAGTCTACATTGGTGGCTGTTGAATGGTGTGACGCATGCTTTTTTCCTAAATACATTACCTCTGCAGCTAATTCTGCTGGAGATCCTGTCGCAGTTCTACAATTAGATCTATGCAGACAGACCCCTGAACCGAGGCTGAGCACCACTGAAGCCAATGGGCTCCATGCAGATACAGGGGTGTGCCTATCTGTATCCCACTGCAGGTCTGTGGCTCTAGCTGGTCCGCAAAGAGAGAGACCAGTAGCAGAAACTGCACTCATGTAAACTATCGGGCTTGTCCAGATTCTTATTGGAGTGCTGATGTAGTAATAGGGAGCGTTCAAAGGGGTGAGGTTCCAAGAGATCCCTGAAGGTCAGGACCCACAAGCCAAACAAACAAACAAAACCCTTTGCAACAATGCAGAGCAGAAGAGCAAGATACATAGGAGACACTGACATTTTCTATCATCTGAGAAAACACGAAGATTGTTCCCCTGGCCCCCAAATGCTTATCTTTCTTATCTTATCAATCATTTGAAGTACATCATGACAAATAAGAAATCTGAAAACACCATGCACAGGCAAATCATTTAATCATTGCATTCAAAGAGCATCTCATACAGAATCCTCCGCAGCATGGGGCAGGGGTCGCTTGCTGGAGGATTCTCTGCGACTTGAAGTCTTTAAATCATGATTTGGGGACTTCAACAGCTGAGTCAAGGGAGAGAATTATTCCAGGAGTGGGTGGGTCAGCTTTTGTGGCCTGCATCATGCGGGAGGTCAGACTAGATGATCATAATGGTCCCTTCTGACCTTAAAGTCTATGAGGTTTGCAGTAGACTTACACTCCACTTTTCACATGAATTGATCTCATCTCCTGGCCAAACCCAGCCTGCTCCAAATCAGGAATATCTTGATTGACCATGACCGTTCCATCTTCTTCATCTGACTCAAAAAGCATGACTGATGACTCTATGAAATCCTAAAAGGCAATGCTGAAAGTTAGGATAAATACCATAACAGTTTAGCAGCAGCTTATTACATACAATCTAGCAAAGGATTCTATGGGACTGTTCACAATGCGAGTATAACTATGTGCAAACAGAGGCCAGCCACATTTAGGGGCATTCATGTTCAATGATGTTGTTTTAATGCTAGTATGGATGAGGCAAGTTGAATCTATAACCACATTAGAGGGAAGAATTGTAGCCTAGGAATAACAATTTCAAAAGCACTTAAGTGATTACAAGGCATTCAGCTAGGGGCTTGTCTACACTACAGGTGCTACAGTTGCACAGCTATGGCACCGCAGCTGTGCCGTTGTAGTGCCATAGTGTAAACACTTGCTACATTGATAAGAAAGGATTTTTCTGTCACTGTAGTAAATCCGCCCCCTCAAGAAGCGATAGCTAGGGTGATGGTAGTGGTGCCTATACTGGGGCCTAGGTCTCTCAGGGGTGTAAATTTTTCACAGCCCTGAGCAATGTAGCTAGGTCAACCTAAGTTTTAGATGTAGCCCAGGCCTTAGGCATGCCAAGTGAGGCCCCTTTTCAAAAGGGATTTAGGTGCTAAGGAACTCAAGGATCTTCCCCGTGCTTTCACAGAAAGGAAGAGTCAGATACCTCTCTAGCACCACCCTTCCTCTGAATGGAGGAGTCTTTGGATTCTGCATGCATGGAGCAGAGGAGGGACGGGGATGCAAACTATCTTTCCAGCAGGAACACGAGGGATCGACTCTGATGTAACAATAATCTGGGGAAAAGATTTGGCTATGGGAACCTTGGTGAAGACTCCTCCCCTTTCATTCCTCCCGCAATTTTTTTTTAATAGGGCTGGATGAAAAGGCCCTATGTTTTTAAAACTAATATATTCCCTTTGCCAGGTTATTAACCCAGTTTTAGATTATTCAATCAAACTCAGTTTTTAAAAGTCCTATTTATTTTTAACTAATTAGCCAGCTCATTATTTTGTAATCCACTCTTTGCTCGGATAATGAAAAATTACCAGCTGGTTTCACCTTTTTGTTTAAATTCTAACAAAAAAAACTAATGTAAAGTTTAAAAAATAAATGTAACCATGTCTGTAAGGTTAGATTTTGTTTTTTGAAAAAATGTAACAAACTTTCCCCTCCTCATTTTTAAACACAAACTAAATTCTGGACCTAACTTACTTTACAGTGTTCCTTTAATATTCACTTGTGTTATAGTGAAGAAACCTTGTTTCAGTTATAAGGAGATCAAGCAACTTGTGTGGCTGATGGAGATCTCAGATACATCAGTACACTACCATTGAAATTATTATTTTTAAATACTTATATTATGGTACCATCCAGAGGCCTTGGATCAGGACCAGCTGCAAGAGGTGCTGTAAAAACAGAGCTAGACAAATATCTATCTCATAAAGCTTACAAACTAAGACCCTGATGATGCAGCTATGTCTGTGTGGACAGACCCTTGCACTCCTCAGGAGCTCCAGTGCTCGCAATGAGACTGCCTGCATGAGTAATTCATGACATGGACCTATTGCAGGATCAGGGCTTAATGTGGCTAAACACGACTACACTGATTATAGCAAACTTACAAGTGACAAAGTAAATACTGGAGTATAACTGTCTTAATTTTTTTAAACAGTTGCAGCTACTGCAGGTGTAAATTATATATGAAATTTGCATATGTATTTTTGAAAGTTAGACCCTGTAAACCCAATATGAACAGGCAGTGTTTTGTTTTAAGATTACTTAAAAAAAAAAACCCCCACAAACCTGTAAATGTTTTGTTCAGTGAATTTAGTGCTTGTGAAAAGCAACTGGATTAACTGTCCTGGAACAGAAATACTTTAGCCAAGCTTCTGAAAAAACAGTCAGATTGCATTAGACCAATTAAAGTTGGTCAGATTTTGCCCCTGAACTATTGTCTTTTATTTTTTTTAATTTATTGAAGTATCCTTTTCCTAAAGCCAGAACTATGCATTTCTGTTGGAGATACATGAAGTGTTTTTTCCTACATCTTTCATTGCAGATTCTCTCTCTCGCTCTTTAAAAGAAAAAAAAAAAAAGAACTGCCCAGTTCCCAAAACACTGGTAATACAGTAGAAACTGCATTTTACCTGTAACTTCCACCTAGAAATCTTCCCTGATGGCTAGAAGAGTGAATAAGAGGCAACATGAAATTGAAAAATTGTTTAAAAAAAGATTTACAAGGCAGAGAAAAAGCTAAATGTTCTACACACGAAGAAAACATTATTGAAGGAACCAGTTCTTCTCTCTTTTGATAAATTGATTTTGTACCCTTGTTCATTCCCTCCCTATCACAGTCCTTGATACTAGTGTATCAAATGTGGATGCTGATAATGCAGCTGCCAGTACATTTGAAAATTTAGTTCTGCAGCAAGACCTTTCGTGTCTGTCAAAACACTAATACCTTCCACCTTAGAGCTGATGACAGTTCATGTTATGTAGTAATAGATGTTTCGAATGGACATAAAAGCTATATAATCTTATAAGTGTGTGCCTATGTCAATTAACATCTTTAATCTTTGCCAGATGGGGTACTTAAACAATCCCTCCTTAGTAGGTGCTGAAGGAACCGTTCTGATCTGTGAGTGAATATATTCAGTCACAACGAACTCTCCTTATGGGTTTTCTTGGCACATCTTGCAAAGGCTTTTTGGATTTATTTGACAATTAATTTTCAGTTCTTCTTATAGAGATGGACTATTTTTAGTAAAAATTTAAGATGTGCACATTAGGTTAATTACAAAAAAAAAAGAAAGAAGTCGTCGACTAGCCAAAAACTGATTATCCACCAGGATTTTACATCGTGCGGATTAGCAGTGAGGGATGGACATATAGCAATCTGGAAAGGAGCAACAGGACACTTTTTATTTAGCTAAAAGGAAAACAAAATAGGTGTTCAGAGAAGTACTAATCAAGGTTATATAAAAAAAGGACCCCGGTGGGTTGCAGTTTGTGTTTGTTAGAGGGCAAGGGGAAGAACTGAACACCTTCCGCATGCCACTGGACACAATTCTCAGTGGTCTTCTCCACACAAGTACAGAGGGAGGGTTTGCCAGTGTTAAAAGGGAGGCATGGCCAGTTTGTCTGCAAATTACACAGATTCAGTGGCCAAAATCAGAGCCTTCAGAAGTAACCACAGAGAAGATAATTTGAGATACTAATAAAAATAAAGATAACATAAATATGGATATTTAGATATCCTGTTAAATTCTGACCAATAAATTACACTATTTAGATATTCATCAATGACACACACACACACACACGTTACTCTTTTAGGATTAGAAACACTTTACTCTCATCAGACTCCCCCCAGACCAGGCAGGCTATAGGCCTCTCTCTACATGAGATTTCTTCCTGAGTTTTAGAGGAACGTTTCCAAACTTTTTCCGCCATGCCCGTTATCTGTAATGAAACCTGTCCATGCTCCCCCTCCCCGAGGAGCCGCGCTCAGGAGCAGCTGCC